GTTAGTGAGCTAGTCTGGTTGATTATTTTTATTGAGTTATGAGTTTGATCCTCACTAGGTTTCCAGATTTGAGACCTTTTAAGCAAAGTATTAAGAAACAGAAAAGTCAGAAACAAAGAAAAGATTACTGAACCATTACACCATATCAGTCCTTCTGTATGGCAGTGAATTTTGGACAATCTCCTGACAGTTGAAGAAGAGACTTGAAGCAACAGAAATGTCATTCTACAGAAGGAAGCTGAGAATAGCATGGACTGAAAATGTAAGCAATGACAAATTTTTAGAGAAAATGGAAACAAAAGGACAGTTATACTTAACACCAGGAAGAGATAGTTGAATTTTTTATGGCATATCATGAGGAAAGTGCACTTGGAAAATCTGATACTTACAGGACAGATTGAAGGTAAGTGGAACAGAGGAAAACATTGCATAACCTACCTTGCAAACTTGAGTAAATGGGTATCAGAACATGATTTAGGAGATATAAAAAAGGCAAAATTTATTAAGAGCTACAAAGGACAAGAAATTGTGGGGAGTCATAACTGCCAACTTCCTAAACAGACTTGGCACATAGAATAAGAAGAAACAGTAAATATTTTTGGGATGTCTTGGCTTGAGGTTTGCTTTGGTTTGGTTTCTTTTACGATATATCTACCTGAAAAGGTTATTTAATGCTGACAAAATTTTTATTGCTGGTAATATTTTTTTTTCAAAAATGTATTTCCAGTAATATTTTTTTCTTTAAAAATATATAGCTGGTAATATCTTTTTTTCCAAAAACGTATTGCTGGTAATAATTTTTTTTTCAAAGTATTTTTGGTATTAAAACCTATTTTTACACTTTCATAGTGTTTTGACCCAGTTTGGTGGTTAAGTATTTGCCCATAGCTGGGACCCCCTAACAGGTGCTACCACTCCAGGTCAGGGTGGACCTGGGAACACCAGCAATTAAGAGGTGGTTCCACACTCCTCATAATCTCCTGATCAGGGGCCTTGTTGCTGGACGTAGTTTATCATCATACCCAGGACGACTTGGCTTGAGGTAAAGGTCAGTGAGCCAGTGTGGTTAACTATTACTACCGAGTAATATGTTTGATCCTCACTAATACTAAGCTTAGTAATAACTTTATGAATGCATTGGTTTGGGGTAAAGGGTTAGTGTGGTTGTCTGGTTGACTATTGTTGTTTTGATTCTCACTTGGTGTCGCATAGTTGTGGCCATATACTGAAACAAAGCTATGCTGAGTAAATAACAACTAATATGTGAAAAAAAGGACATGTATTATGACACAAAGCAACTAAAATAAAATGAAACAAACGCTTCCAGTTTAAAACTGATAATGACAATGCTTCTTGAGATTACATAAGTGTTGTAGCATACCTACAGACAATAATGGGTATGTCCCTATTCAAACAAATACAGTAGTAAACACAGTATGTTGGTCTGCAGTTAGAGATTCATTGTTGAATTCACTTGACTCACTTCTAGCAGTTGACTACTTCTTCTATGGGCCACTGGCAAATCTTATATGGGTTGTTCATATCCTAAGTATTATCATTCAGTACCAACCATTGTGTGATTATTCTATTCAGTAACCTTCCCTAGGTTACAACAATAAGTATAATCCATTTACAACTATGTGATTTAAACAAACAATATGTATGTTTGTAGATTCTTTCATTGAGTATCAAGCTACAGACTCATCAAACTAGGTGTTGCTACTGTGGCTTCCATAGCCAGTATGTTTTTACAATTTGAGTTTCAGAGTCGACTGTCCTTTAAATTAACAAGAGTCAAAGAGAACAGTTTGCCCTACTATTAACAAGGAGGAGAAAAGGGAGGAGAAGAGGGATGCTAACCTCCAGAAGAGTGAATTGTTGTGTCTTCTAGGGCTAACATTCTCAACTGACATGAAAGGGAAGATTATATTGAATCTATTGCTAGGTGAGCTGTTAAGAAAGTTGGTTCACTGTGTCATGCTAGACAATTTTTCTCTCCAGAATGTAGATTGCCTATCTATAAGTCTACCATACTTAGAGATCCTTGTTAAAAATCAAAGAAGAATATGCAATATTATTGATACTGATCTGGTGTCTCGGCTTTCCCAATACCATAAAGTTGCTTCCCTGTACCTTCTCTATAAATACTTTTATGGTAATTATTCAGATGAGCTCTTTGTTACGGTACCTAGACTGTATGAATTTAGGCGCAATACTAGATTGGCAACAATGATGCATCTATCAACAGATGACTTGATTAGATGCAATCATAAGTTTTATGCTAATAGTTTCTTTTCTTATACTTCTTACTAGTGGAACTCTCTTCAGCTCCATGCTTTCCAGTCAACTTTAATATTCAAAAATTTAAATCCAATGTCAATCTACAGTCTTCCTGATTACTCTTCTATTGTTGAGTCACTCATTAGTTATGCTTGTTTTCTAATTCTTCCACACCCAGTGTGTCTTAGTAGCTTTACTGCCTTGCTCAGCATGAACTGAATTAAAAAAATAGATTTCCCAATGACATCAAATGCACCAGCGTAAGATGGAATTTAAACTTGACATGCTAATCCCACTTCTATGCCAATAAAAACTACACTACTCCAATATATATATATATATATATATATATATATATATATAGTATGGAGTAAATCAGATAAGAAAGAATATAGCTCTATGACAAAATCTGAATGGCATCTGTTGACTAGTTTTGTAGCCTAATCAGTAAAGTGCTGCCATGTCAACCTGGCTCCTGAAGATAGACAATGAGACTTTAGATATTTTTTTAAGTCATTTTGTTTATTTCTAATCAAAACTGTTTATTTGATTGGTGTAGTATTTTAAAAAAGAGTGCAATAAAAACAGCAGAAATAGGACAAAAAGAAAACTAAGAGAGAAAAAAATCATGATGTTTCTTTTAAGAAATTTAGATAAATTAATACTAATATTTTATAAATCTAATTCCTAATTTTATTGTGCCATAAAAATGACATCAGTAATTAAGCAATTTTCTAACTGTACTATAGTTATAAAATATCAAAAATTCTATATTGCTGTGTAGGCAAGAGGGTTAAGGCCACACCCTACCAAAAATAGGGGGTACCTTTTAGGTGGATGCTTGCAGACTTTATTATGAATCTGATCAATGCTTACCCACAGACTCAAATATAAACATGACCAGTGTTTTCCTATAGTCTCAAGTATGAATTTGGACCAATATTTACCTACAGTCTCAAGTATGAATCTAACCAATGTTATCTATACACTCAAGTATAAACCCAAACAATATTAACATATAAATTCAGGTATAAACCTGACCAATGTTTATCTATATAGACTCAAGTATAGACTCAATCAATGTTTACCTATAGACATGTATAATTACAAAGACTGCTTGCATTAAAAGTGTTATCTTCCAGAAATCCATTGGTTAACCAATTTTTGTTTGTTTTTGCAAAACACAATCTTTGTTATTATTGTTAGAAACAAAGAAAAGATTGTTGGATTGCTATGTGATATCTTTTCTTTTATATAGCAGTGAATGTCAGACAATTTCCTCACAGATGAGGAGAAAAACTGACGCAGCAGAAATGTGGTTCTACAGAGGGACACTGAAAATTCTGTGGATGGAGCTAGTAATCAACAAGGAAGTCTTAAAGAAAATTGCAAAAGAAAGAACGTTTATACTCAGAATCAATAAAAGACAGCTGGAATTCCTTGGACACATGATGAGGAAGAAAGGCTTGGAAAATGTAACCCTCACAAGGTATATTGCATCTTTTACTTAGATTTTTACTACTTGTGCATGCATATCCTTTAATGATTGATTGCAGAAAAATGAAAATATTTATACTTTTTAATCTTCATGTTTAATAAGGAGAAAATAGCAAAAAAAATTGGTAATGAATTACTGACCCTTTCACCAATGATGCAATAGGTATAAACATAGCTTGTAAAGTTTCAAAAAGTAGATTTTGGACCCCAAAACTAAGAGCACCCTAGAAAATCACAAAAATTGAAAAGTGAGGAATTGTTGGAATGAATGGATTGAGAGAGAAAGAAAGAATGAAAGCAAATGAATGGACTGAAAAAGTAAGAAAGAAAATGAATGAATGAATGAATGAATGGACTAAGAAAGAAAGCAAATGAAGATAGATAGATAGATAGATAGATAGATAGATAGATAGATAGAACCAAGAAAAGAATACCAAAGTATTCAGCTTGATTCAAACATAAATGTGAAAAATATTTGAAAGAATTATAGCATCTTCGGAAAAAAAATTTACTAGGAAGTCCTACTAATTTTTTAAATAGTTAATGGAAACTTGACCATCATCTTTTGCTCTCCTCTATTAGCAGTGAGGGAAGATTTTATTAATATCAGTCCTGTGTAAACATTTGAGAAAATCTGTTGTTAGATTGCAACAGCTCAAATTTTTTCTCTCCCTGAAGCCTATTAAGAATTATTATCCTAATAACTTTATTTTAATCATGGAAAACTGGTTCTTAAACATTGTTTTTCATCATACTATATGAAACTGAGTAATGGCATTTCTTCTCAGTAACATTAATATTTGTATTATTTTATTTTTTTGAGGCTTGACTCAGTAAATACTATGAATATTACTGTTTCAATGTAAAAGTGTATTTGGATAATGGTCTTAACATTAAATTCAAACTGACCGTATTCTGATCTGGGTTTCTCTATATTGCAGGCTTAAGGTTTATTTCTGATGTAGAATTTGTTCATTTTCTATGATAATTTAAAAAAAATCTCATTCAATGCAACTGGTTTCTTTGGCTTTTAGACATCACCTCTGCAAAGGGCGCCAAGTGCTTTGCCTGCAGCCACTTCCTCCATTCCTCTTTTTTGATTGAGATTGCAAAATTCTTTATGCACCACAAGTGCCTCATATCAATTGATAAATGCTTATTTTAAATTCACACCTCTTTTTCCTCTTCACTGGTTTCTCCTCTTCTCTTTCACTGTCTTTGTTATGATACATAAATCTGCTGTCTCTTTTTCTCTTTATTTGTATAATCTTTCTTCTTTTCCTTATTACTTCTTTAAATTTTCTCCAAGCTTGCATTTGTTAATTTTTAATGAGTTACTTTAGTTTTCTTACTTTCTTCCTTTCTTCTAAACATTTATTTTTTTTCCCCTTTTTTTTTTGATTTTTTCAAATATTTTAACATTCTTGTTGATTTCTTCAGCTTTGGTTACACTTTTTTCTTTCATTCTTACTTTTCTTCCATAATAATATTTTCATTCATTTTTTCATCTCTCTCTCTCTCTTTTATATCCTATTTCCTTTTATTTCATTCTTATTTTCATATTTTCTTCCGTCTATATTCTTCATTCTTTTCTATATATTTAGTCTTTCTTTAATTTTATTCTGCAAACCTTTTATTCTTCATTCTTAATTTGTCTTCCCTGTCTGTTATAAATAATTGTTTTCTTGCCATTTTTTCTTTCCTTCTCTCTTATGCTTCTGTCTTACTTCTTTTACCTTCTTTTCTTTTAGTCTTTCTTTCTGTTTTCCTCTTTCTTCCATTTTTTTTAAAACTGTTTTCTTTGGTGTCTTTTGTTGCCCCATCCATATCTCTTTTAAAAATTCTAGATCTGCATTTGAAGTCACAATTTTATTGAAAATTCAGTGGAAACTTTTTCTCCCATTTTCCCCCAGCAGGCAGTTTTTTTTTAAAGGTGTTTCTCCTGTGACATGTGGCACTTTTATCTTCTGAATAAACTAAATTCTTTACTTCACCTTTTTACCTTTTTATGCCTTCTTCTCCTAACGTTTTCAGGCTTTAATGCTTTTACCTATATTTTAGCAACATTTTAAATTCCTCAATTTCACCTTCCTCCATTTCTCTTTCTTTTACACTATTATGCATTCTCATATTTCTTTACTCTTTCTTTTTCTTTCTTTCTTTCTTTCTTTCTTTCTTTCTTTCTTTCTTTCTTTCTTATCTTTTAATTCTTTCTTCTTTTTCTTTTTAATTCTTTCATATTCCCTTACTCACTTTCTTTCTATCTTATCTTTTTAATTCTTTTTTTCTTCTTTTTCTTTTCATATTTTTTACTTTGTTTCTTTTTCTTCTTTTGCTTTTCATATTTTTTACTTTCTTATATTTTTGTTTCTTTCTTTTTCTTCTTCTTTTGCTTTTTCTATTTCCTTACTTTCTTTTTTATTTAATTCTTTCTTCTTCTTTTCATATTTACTTTTTTCTTTATCTTTTTATATTCTTTCTTCTTTTCCTTTTCATATTTCCTTACTTTGTTATCTTTTAAATTCATTTTACTCATTTTTTTTTCACATTTTCTTAATTTTTCTTTTTTCTTCCTTTCTTATTTTTTAATTCTTTTTTTCTTCTTGTATTTCCTTACTTTTTCTTTTTTCTTCCTTTCTTATTTTTCAATTGTTTTTTAATTTTCATATTTCCTTCATTCAGTCAGTTATGTGCCATGCATGATACATGTTTAGGCAATCATGTATCTTTCAATACATGACTGACAAGGCAGATTTTTCCCCCCAGTAGGTTGCTATTTCTTTCTGCAGTAGACCAGTTGCTATCCAAGGATATAGAACCTGGCCTGTCCTGCTATTTACCCATAGCTGGGGAGAGAAGAAGAGGATTCATACCTTTCCCAAGGGTATTAGCATGTAAGTGAATATAATGGATTCATCTGGAATTCTTTACTTACATATTTCCTTACTTTTGCTTTTTTCTTTCTTTCATATCTTTTTAATTCGTTTTTTTTTATTTTCATGTTTCCTTACTCTCATTCATTTCTCTTTCTTCTTCTTTATTTTAATTCTCTTTTTTGTTGTTTATCATTCTCAAAAACTCTTTCTTACTTTACTTACAAAATGTTTGTGAAATAACTTTTCCTTACTTAACAACAATTTTTCATTTCTCAACACTCTTATCTTTTACCTATTCTCTTATTCTTTCTCTCTCTTCTATGATTTAATTCCTTTTGAAATTTGATACATTCTTTTAATTCAGTTCCTTTACATGTTTCAACTTCTCTTTTCTTTCTTAAAATTGTTTTCTTCTCACATACCTGTGCGACCCTCTCAAATTCACAGTCTCTCTCATTTCCACGATTAACTTCTTTATGTTTTTTGCAGTTTAATCTTTCAATTCACTCCTCTCTTTTAATGACTTCATCAGCTACATCTTTGCAACATTCCTTTTTCTTTCCATTCCTTCAATTTTGTTTCCATTTTTTCATTATTTTTTTCTTATGTTATAATGGCTTCAGATTTATAGCTTAAAATTTTCTGGAGAAATTCTTTTGAAAATAAGACTTATGTTTCATCATGTTTAAATTTTCAAGTGCACGGCACTATATGCACAGTTACATGGACACACCTGCACACACATATAAGATTAAATACATTCACTTTTTATATATATATATATATATATATATATATATATATATATATATATATATATATTATATATATATATATATACAGGTAGTAATCTGTTGGTATAATCCAGACAAGTTCTATTAACACAACATAGAATTTGAAATATGTTAAAACTGATTTACAAAGAATGTTCAATGTTTATTTTCATTAAACAGAGCAAAATTTTCTTTACAATTGGAATTAAGATACCTTTAGTTAATGACATTTTCCACTTACAAATTTTATTTTTAAAATTTGAAGGATTTTTCAAACTGTTTATGATATCAGTTGTAGTGGTATACTGGCTAGTTGGGGAAAAAGAGAGGGAAGACATTAAAAGAGACATGGTAAGAGATATGGAAGAAAAAAGCACTGTTACAGGAATTATATTATGAAGGTAGGAGAACCTGGGTAGTGGGGAGAGAAAGGGAAAATGGTAAGCTAACTTACATCCTAATGGTCACACAGCCAAAGTTTGATTCAATGGGAATCCACAGAAATTAAGTGTATGATTAAAGAAGGGGAAACTGATGATCCCACTGTAGAGAGCTTGAAAAATCTTGCAAATTTTGAAATTAAAATTCATAGGTGAAAATGGTCATTAACTAAAGGTATCTTAATTCCAATTGTAAAGAATATATATATATATATATAAAGTGGCGCATGGCCAAGTGGTTAGAATTTTTGCTTTCTGACCATGAAACCTGGATTCAAATCTCATCATGGTCGATTTGTCAGGAAGGTGACTTCCTGATGTTATCAGACTGGATCAAGGCTGATCCCAGAATGCAGCATCTTTGGAAAGTTCCTGAAAACCATATCATGGGTTGACCCAAGCCTTGTGAGTGAAATTGGGTAGACTTGTGGGTTGTCAATAGCTGTGCTAGCATGAAACCACAAGTCATCATGGTTGAGAACTTGAGCATGCTGGCCTTGTTCAAATTGTTGATCATGTTATACAACATGCTCTCTCTCCCAGAAACTGTAACTAAGGTTTGCTCAGCATAGTTGCAGTATAAACCATAGGTGGGCTCTGTGGGTGTTGTACAAAAATAAATGTGCCTGAGTGAGCCTCTGCAATAGGGATTGGCTAGCCACCCTAGTAGACGGGTATCCTCAAATATGAGTTGCCAATAATTATTATTATTATTATTATTATTATTATTATATGTACACTGATGTCAACATTGAGTGACGACAGTCTAATTCAAGTTTGAATGTAATCTTCATACGTGAAACAGACTGTCATCACAGTGTTGAGATCAGTGTTCACATATTTATTCACATTCTATTCCAGATATTGAGCACTTTTACCCAGTAAATAATGCAATCTCCTCTCAGCTGCATTCTTGCTTGTCTAGTTTTAGCGTTTCTAGAAAGTCACCCATTCAAAATATTCTACCAACAAACTCTTCCTATTTCAGAGACATAGATTACTCACTGCTAATATATCCATTAAATACTAATTTAACAGATCTTGTCAACCAAACTTAACAATGTTGAACCTACAAAAGACTTCACCTTTGAAACAGAAACCAACTACACTCTTCCCTTTCTAGATATCATATGACACAAAAAGAATAACAAACTTAATTTTGACATTTATAGAAAAGCTACCAACAAAAATAACCTAGTCAGCTTCTACTCAAACCACTCCTCTAAAATTAAATCTGGTATAATTATTGTTTTCTATTTAAGAGCATGAAGAATGTTTATCCCTCAATATTTACCCAATGAAGAAACATACATAAAAAACATATTCAAAAACCTACAATATCTATATCACTTCATCCACCATGCAAAAAGAAAGGTATACAAAATATACAACTGCAACAAAAAAAAACAGCATCATCAATAATAAATTATAAAAAACAGATACATAATACTATCTACCAACTCCATAACATCCACTATAGAGAACAACTTATCCCAACTAACCAACATCCAAATAATCACAACCACTTCCAGAACCATTATGGATATAATCAGATATAAAAACACTCCCAACAATAATATTTCAGAAGCAGGCATATATAAAATAAATTACCAAAACTGTTCCTTGCAATATATTGGAGAAATATGCAGAAATTTGAACACAAAAAGGACCTCAGAAACAACAACTTGACAAATTGACTGGTCATATATAGAAATAAATTCAACCACTATTTTGATTTTAAAAATGCTACACTCATAAAAAAAGAAAATAATTCACTCACAAGGAAGATCCTCGAGAGTGCTGCCATTGAATATTATCCAAATATTAATCTATGCCCTTTTGCCCAGTCTCACCTTTCTTAAGAGAATCACTACTCTCTCAAGCCAACATACACAACAAATATATCAAGAAATCAAAAGAAAATGGTTGAATCCATCATCACAGCAATTCAAACAATATTTCTACATATGAAAAATTCTCTTCAATTATAAAAAGTAAATGATGTAATTTTTCACTTGACCTAATGAATATATATGAGTTTTTCGAAATTCTTCTAGTAACTAACAAAATTTTGTTTTTGTTTATAGATTCCTTGTTCAAATAAATTCATTTCATTCTTTGCCTTGATAAAGTCCACAGTGGACAAAACACATTAGCTAAAACTACATACAGTTTTCCTGTTGTCTTTTTCCTTTATTTATATATATCTGTATGTAAAATTTCAGATAGGGTATATCTGTCAAAGGATAACATGAATAAAGGCAAAAGAAAAACTTATCTTAGTTAAGATAATTTTCCTCTCTCTATATTTATTTATTTATTATGCACTGTTACATTAAAACGTGTACATACCCATTACAAAACTCTACATCTTGTTTCAACATTAAAAATTAACATTTCCTCAGGTGGAAAATCATGATGGTATTAAACTTCAATCCATACATATACTTTGTGTTGGGAACTCCCAGTTTAGTACTATCAAGAATTCCCACCTGAAGAAATGTTAATTTTTAACTTTGAAATAAGATGTACAGTTTTGTAGTGGGTATGTACATAATCTAATGCAACACTGCATAATAAATAAATATTTATTGCTCTACTTTTGCATTGAGCCCTATTTCAAATTAATGTTTTGAATGCCAAAATTTTACTCTTTGTTCTTTTACATTTGGATATATATATATATATATATATATATATATAGATAGATAGATAGATAGATAGAGAGAGACAGAGAGAGAGAGAGAGAGATAGACAGACAGACAGACAGACAGATATATATATATATATATATATATATATATATATATATATATATGACTCACTTTGACAGTTGAGGGCAAAGCAACTCAGTTCTTAGAACCAAACTTCCAGACTACTCACACGTATGATTTGATTATAGCACTGAAGGGGTGTGCAGAACAAACTACACTTTTTTGGAAGAGTCAGATAGAGAGAAATGGTGCACATAGTGTCACAAAAGATCCCCAAATGAATCCTCCTCAGGTTTTGAATTCAAAGTTGTCCTTCTCCTAGACCAAAGGTATTTGCACCTAGGTGAATGTAACAAACATGACTGGGATTCAAATTCCATTCTCCAATTCCTCAATCTGAATCACTATTCATTACTCCACCTCTTTATATATATATATATATACACACACACATGTGTGTGCGTGTGTGTTTCT